CTGTCACAGGCTGAAAGCTCCACCCGTCCTCCCAGCATCAAGCTGGTGATGAGCTCAATCAACATTACAGTAACACTTCATAAGACGACCCACAAATAAGGCGCAAGTACCCTGTACTTAGGTGAAATTTCATGCAACAATGAAATAACCTAAAATTAAATGAAGTAATTTCAGGTGCTGGGTTATTTCATGGAAAATTTCTGGAAAAGCAAACAATATTTCCCCATCTTACATCTTATGTTCCTGCAAAATGCACGTAAGTTCTGGGCACTCGCGCCTGCTCTCGCTTTCATGGAGGAAAAATCCTTTCATGTGTGAAGCTCTGGTGACGACACTGAAACAACCAGCGAGGAACAAACTGTGACTAACAAATCATCTCTTTCTGTAACTCGAAATCTGTCGGAGCTGCAGGAGTTTGGAGAACATTTGGAGATCAACAGAGCGGAAAAATATCACCAAACGCTCGACTTGAAGTTAAAGGGGAATAAAAACTCCTTCAAACCCACGACTCAGTATCACAGGTGCTACACCCGTAACACGCCCAACACTCGGGCCGATAACTGCTGAGGAGATCGATGTCTGACGTGTGCATAGATCTCAGATCGATCTGCAGGGAGAAACTTGGTGCCGAAAGTTAGAATAAAACCAACTCTGTGCTTTTGTGTTTCACTGTTCACAAAGTAACACAATCAATGTGAAACAGACCTGTTTTATGTGTCTGTGACACCTTAGAAAATTTTTTAACATTTCTTTAGATCCACAAGAGCTGAATTACACAATTATACCAGCAGGTTGCTTGGCAACCACCTAGCAACAGCACAAGTACAACAAGCACAGGCGTGACGTTGTAATCGTTTGATATATTTCCTGTTTGTCTCTTCTCCTGCAAACACGTCGGCTCATCTTTGGTTTCTTCTTCCTGAGCTTTCAGTCGTCTGTTAGCGTTAGCTTGTTAGCGTTACCCTAGCATGCAGAGCGTTATTCAGGCAGTGTTGATGGGAAACTCTGCACGCTCATCACAAATGAAGCAGATCACAGGACCATGTGGTTGTAACTTGAGCAGAGAGGCTGATGTTAATGTGGTGAAAAATCCACAGATCCAGCTTCAAACAAAGCACGTGCCCACGTTAACCAGCTGCACGTGACGTCTCTGCCACAGCGCGCAGAGCTCTGCGTGGTGCGATACTCTTACTTCTTCTTACTTCTTAATGAAGTAAGAAGTAACACGAACGCAGAGCTGCGTGTGCGTGATGTGAACGAGAGGCACAGAGAGCAGCGTCGCCCTGTTTCGCTGCACGTCTGCGTCCACGGCTGCTTCGTCTCTTCATTCTCTGCAGAGTCAAACAGAGTCACTGTTGATCTCACGCAGGTCTTCTCTCCACCGTGGATCTCTGCCCGGCCTCCATCTGTCTGCATATTGATGCACTTAAATCACTGCATGCATGCGCAGTAAAAGCTTCATCGGCACCCATACGTGCCTCCCCGTGCGTTTAAACCCCTTCGGCACGTACC